CGGTTCCAGGGGCATGGCCAAGCCCATGGCCCCATGGTGTGTGGCAAGGAGACCCAGCCTCTCTGCTCAGTTAGCGGCACATCAGAAGCGCCTGGAGTGCCCACACCTGCCTGCCTGAGGGCTGCAGAGCTTGCCTGCACTGCTCGGTTTGTTAAAGCCCCTCAGTCCATTTGAAAGCACTGCTCAGGTTTAGAGCCTCTCCCTCCAGACAGGAAATGCTGGGCCTGCTCTGTGAGAGGGACAGGCTCCAGGCTCCAGCCCAGTCTCTCTCCTCCCAGCAGAGTTGCCCTAGGGCAGTGGTTGGCAAACTGCGGCTCACGAGCCACATGCGGCTCTTTGGCCCTTTGAGTGTGACTCTTCCACAAAATACCACGTGCGGCTGCGCATGTACAGTGCGATTGAAACTTCATGGCCCGTGCGCAGAAGTCGGTATTTTGTGGAAGAGCCACACTCGGGGCCAAAGAGCCGCATGTGGCTCATGAGCCGCAGTTTGCTGACCACAGCTGTAACCTGGCCTCCCTTTGTTCGCGAGCCAGTTTGCCGACCACTGCCCTAGGGGACACACAGGCCTGTTCAGGTGGAGGCTGCCTGGCCCTCACCCATCGGGTGCTGCAGCGCAGGCTGGCTCACTGAGCACCCACTCATCGCCTGCTCTATTTCCATCATTTGGGACAGATGGCAGGAAGTGGCGGTGGGCGTCACGTCGTGCGGCCCTGAGTGTTTGGAACGGAAGGCTTCTGGGATCCTCGATTCTCCACCCACCCCTGGACAGAGACAGATGTGGGCCAGGCAGCTTGGCTGATGAGGGGGAGCTGGGTTTGTCATGAGTCCCTGCAGACACCTGCAAGGGCACGTGCTTGAACACACACATACACACACACACACACACACGCACACGCACACACACACCTGGCGCTACCCCTCTCAGAGCCCTGGAGCAGGAGAGGGGAGAACTGGCCTCTGATGACTGCCACCTGGGCCAGGACGCAAATCATCTGCTCCCTGCCACCATGCTGCCCAGGAGGGGAGAGTCTCACTAACCCAGGGGTCCCCCCGCCGCCCCCAGCCGCTCACTGACCACATTCTATTGTCCGGCCTTTTCCGGGCTCCACCCAGTCACCAGAAAGCAGGGGCATTGACGCCTCCCGGCATCATGGAGCTCTCACTGTGCTCCTGGGGCTGTGCTAAGAGGGTTGGTATAAGATCTCATTTGTCTCTAGAGGGTTGGTGATATTTCCCAGGAAAGTGAGGAGACCTCAGCACAGAGGAGCTACATAACTCGCCCGAGGACGTACGGTCAGCTGGTGTAAGGCTGGGACTGAGTCAGGCTAGCAACCCACAGGTGCAGCCACGTTACCTCTCCAGGTCCCAGGTTTCCTGGCAAATGGTGCACACAGGGCACTGTGATAGGCCAGGGCACAGATGTTGTGCATGTGGGCAGGGATCTACGCCATGGCACCTTTGGAGGTGATCCAGACCTCGACACCAAGCCCCACTGGTCAGCACACAGCCCTGACTTAATGTGTGGGCTGAACAAAGGCTCTACGTGAATCTGAGTCCCAGATGCAGAAACTGAGGCCCAAGGTGGGGGATGGGCCCTGCCCAAGCCCACAGACTCAACAGGGAAGAGTTGGGGCTAGCATTGGCTCTCTGGGGTCCCTGCCTAGATTGCCCATCTTGAGAGAATCGTAAAATGGCCAGGATGGATTGGGCATAGGTGGCACCAGCAGCAGGGGGGCCCACGTTTGCCTCTTGATGCCCTGGAAGTGCCCATGTGCAAAAGGTGGGGAAGGGCAGTGTGGGGGGCAGCGGTGGGGAGGAGGCTGGAGAGAATCAGCAGCTGCTGTGCCCAGCTGAGCCAGCATGGGCACAGGCCAGCATGACGGAGAGGGGCTGGGCAGAGACCTGAAGCAGCAGATCCAAGGGGGGAGGCCAGGCCAGCTGGGAGGTGGGACAGGGCCCTCTTGGTTGTCCTGCCTCAGCTCAACTCAGCCCCGACCCATCCCACCCTGGTGCCTGCAGGGCCCCTGGGTTCTCTCCCTGTCCCGTGGCTGCTCTATGGTTCCAGGACGTGGGCTGATCACAGCTGACAGATGCACCTGTTGGAGGGAACATCCGTCAGCTGGGGATGGGGAGCTGGAGGGGGAGGGGGGAGTACAGCACAGTGACTCACTTCACACTGCACCCTCCTTCTGCTCAGGCTCCTTCCTGCCCTGTCTGGGACCAGCGAAGGGAGACCTGCCAAGCTCTCCCCCCTCTTCTTCCTTTGCCTTGGAAATCAAGGCGGCCCTTGTGGTTCACAGAGGTCACATCAGGCTCAGCAGCTGCTCCTGGCCCTCACCCGGGCGGCCTTGGCGTGGTGGGGGGAGGGGGCCTGAGGGCCCCAAGCCAGACTGAGTCTGCAAAGCAGCTCCCACTCTTGCAGAAGCTTCTGCTAAGAAAAGGGATCCTGAATTCACAGACCCCGGGTTCTTTTCTTTGCAGCTCTGGCCCTGCATCCCAGAAAGGGGCTCTGGAGGCTCCAAGTTGCACAGCTGATCCAGGAGACGTGGCTGGGTGTGGGGCCTGCTTGCGTGCAGTCACTAAAGGGTTCAGAGGATTTGAAGCCACAAGCACACAGAGCCAGCCCCCAGCTGGGAGAGGGCCCCTCCTCAGCCACCCGGTTCCAGGTGTGCATCTGTCCCCTGCAGTCCTCTCCCAGGACCCCTCCTCCCCCAGCCCTAGGGAAGTAAGACAGAGCAGATTTCAAATCCCAGTTGCAGCTATGTCACTTGCCATCTAGGGCAGGCCTCAGGTTCATCTGTGAAGTGGGTACAATGCCAAGAGCTACCTCGTGGGCCGCACGTGGGGCCAGGGAGATGATGCAGGTACAGGGCCAGCCCTGACCTCCCAGCCTCCACCTGAGAACAGTCAGAGCCTCTTCGGGCATCTGACTCATGCCTCAGCTCCAGCCGGGCAGATTGAGGGAGCAAGTCGGGGCCCACCTCCTGAAAGTGCCCCGCAGGAAGGCTGCAGCCTGGCAGGTAGAGGTTCCCGGGGCGCACTCCCTGGAACCCCGGGCCGCAGGCATGCCCACTCCAGCAGAGCCCACTACTCACAGAGTTCAAGTCTGGGTGCTGTGATGGGCAGGCTGCTCCCTCCTCTGAGCCTCGGTGTCTGCAGAGGGCAGTGACTGTGCTTGCCCTTTGGGGCTGCTGTGAGGGCCCATGCATGATGGGAGGGTGCATGCAGGAGGCCGAGGACTGAGCCCTGACCGTGGCAGTGACAGGCAGCCTGCGCCCTGACTTCCAGTCCCTCCTGCCGCTAGTGAGGAAGGTGAATTTCACAACCGGTTCTCCTGCTGACCTTGGTGAGCAGCCCGGGGGCAGCTTCTTCGAGGACCACTGGCCCTGCCTGGCCCTGCACCAGCAGATGTGGGCCCTGCTCCAGTCACAGGAAGGCTACTGGCAGGTGCAAGGCCCTTCAAGATCCTGTAGGGCTGGGGGCCAGTTGCGGAGGAAGAGGAGGGCGGATGGCAGTGTGGGGTCACAGTGGCCAAGGGGAGGGCCAGGTGCAATTGTTGGAGGGGAGCACATGAGCTACTCCCACCACCCAGCCAGTAGGGGCCGGCCAAGCTCCCAGGATGAGCTCTGGACGTAGGGCAGAGGCAAGGCAAGAGGATGACTGTCTACATGCAACTGTGCAGCCCAGGGCGCCAGGGGCAGGTGCTGCGTGTGGCCATGCGGTGTGTGCTCGCACTGACCTGCAGATGGGCAGGGACTGTGCTGGCAGCGGTGTGTGTGTGCACTGAGCCTGCAGTGTGTGTGCCTAAGAACAGGCGCTGTTCCTCTACGTCTGCCTGCCCGCCAGGGCTGCTGGGAGAACTAGCACCCCTTCAGCCTGCCCTGTTGCCAAGCTTGAAGAGGTTTGTGTTGTCACCTCTGCTAATCCTCCTGGCGGCCCTGGGAGATGGACTAGGCGGGGCAGGGGTGGCCGGGCTCTGAGCAGTGTGGCCTGAAGTCAGCCACAGCCCACCGTTCGCCCCTGTTCTCATGAGTGAGAGGTAGGAGTCCATCTTTGGGGGCATCCACTCTCCCCTCGCAGGAGACCCTGGTTGTATTAGTTTTCTGCCCTCTTCCTACTGCCTGCAGTGCTGACTGGGGCTCCCGCAGCCCTGTGTAAGGTCCCCTCAGAGTGGGAGCCAGGGAGCCGAATGGAGCCTGCGTCCCTGCTGACCATGGCCCTCCGTGCCCACCCTCCTCTGCCCCCTCCGGACTTCTGCCTGAGAGAGAAAGGCAACCAGCCTTGTTCAGAGCATTGTTATTTGGGACGTTCTGATGCACACAGACCTACTCTCGGTGCCACTTCCTGCCGCAGAGAGGCGGTCCCAGCACAGGAGGAGCTCGCATGGCCTCGGGATGTTTTTCTGAGTGCTAGCTGCGCCCTGGGGGTCAGCTATGTTCCTTTCCCTCCTTCTTCACTTAATTATTATGCATCCTTCCCACTACCCTGTCACCATATCTTGACCCCCACCCCAGGCATTTCCCTTGCTTTCTCTCTCTCCAAACGCCCAACAGCCCCCAGAGTGAGAACTCTCAGCATGTGTCCTTGTTAGGGACCCCATGGGCCGTTAGGGAGTAGGCATTCATTCATTACTTGAATCATTAAATGGTGCATCGGTGGCCAGCCCTCGAGCATGGGACTCTCCCTCCCAGCTCGCAGGGTCCCGGCTCTAAGGGCCATGGAGCCAGGCTCAGGGACCTCACAGAGCAGGACCAGCCACATGGCTGACCCCAGGTTCTCTTCTGTCCAGCTTCTGTCCCACAAACACCTAAAAACTCTCTCCCACCCAAATGGGACCCCAGGAGTCTAGTCTCCCAGCCAGGCACCCCAATACTTATTTCCCAAAGCGATCCTATAGGGGACAGCAAGGGATGAGCTCAGAAAGGGAGGAACAACAGGTCCCTGGGTGGTCCGAGGCAGCCCCCAGCCCACAAGCCCCCAGCCCCGCCACCGCCTACCTTGGCGCGCTGCATGCTGGGTGCTGAAGGAGACTGTGGCCGGCCTCCCCTCCTCACAGCCCAGGAGATCAGGACTGCCGGGCAGGGCTGGCAGCTGCCTCATGTTTGCTTGGACTGGCAGCTTCTCGCCCGCCCCCTGCCCACCCCTCCCTGCCTGTCTGCTTCTACGGGCTCCACCCCTTCTGCCTCTCTCTCTCTCTCTCTCTCTCTCTCTCTCTCTCTCTCTCTCTCCAACCCAGGCAGCATTGTCCCACTTGGAATAAATGGATTAATGGTCCTAATCCTGCCCTCTCGGCCTGTTGAAGTCCTGCCAGTCTGGCTCTCTGGGTCTCCCCTCCACCCCTACCACCAGGGGTCCTCTCTGTGCCACCCCCACTCTGTCCCTTTCTTTAACACACTTTCTCTGCTCCCCCACTTTGGTGAGGGGAGGCTGGGATACAGTGGCGGGTGCAGAGCCCAGGCTCGGGGAGGGGCTTGAGTTCCTGCCCAAGGGGCAGCCCTCCTGTCGCTGCCGTCCCCTCCTCACAACGCCTGTGGAGGGACCAGAGAGGACCTCAGGCCATGCATTGCAGTCAAGAGCCTGGTGTCCCCTCAGCCACCCTCCTCCCTGTGGGGGCATCATTGTGGAGCGCTGGGTCCGAAATGGCCTCACAGATGGAGGCTCACCACCCGGAGAGGGTGACAGCTACCAGGACCACATATGCGGGTCACACACAGGGGTCCTTTCACCTCTTTCACCCGCCACCACTTAATTACCCCTTTTTCACCCCCGGGGCCTCGCCATGTGAGAGCCCTCCCAGGTAGCCTGTCCCTCCAGGGCCTGTCATCTGTCCCTGCCTGGAACCTCATCCAGTGGCTGAGGGACCTCATCATATCCCCTGGGTGGGGGGTAGAGGAAGGGGTGAGGGTCCCTGGGCATCTTTGGGAGGGTAGCAGACTCCTGGGCATTCGCTCAGCCCCCAGGGAGACCCCCCGGGAGGCAGGTGCCTGAAACCTCGCCAAGTTTCCCTTCTCTGCACCCCAGCGCCAGCCTGAGCCAGTGGTTCCCATGGAAACAGAGCCCTGTGACACCCTCCTCTGCAACGGGCACAAGGCGCTCACACGCTCTTTTCCTATTTTTTAGCCAGTCACTTCACTCCAACTCTCAGATTCACATGGGAAGAGAGTGGCCAGAGCTGCTGACCCACTGAGTCCGGACGACCACCTGCAGAGCGGGAGGCAGTCGGGTGTCTGCCCGGCTGGACTCCCAGGGCTGGGCCTGGGAGGAGGTGCCGTGTCGGTCCGGGCTGAGCTCCCCGGGAGCCCAGGGGCCATTCACCCGTGGCCTCTGGCTCCGAGCAAGACCCCACAAGGGACGCACAGAGCACGGAGTCTCCACAGTGGCCTTGGGGGGAGTGTCATCACCTGACGTGATGAAAGTGAGACCCAGGAAAGTTAAGGACTTGCCCAGGGTCCACGAGTGACACAGCCGGTCCTGAAAGCCTGGCTCTTCCACTCCAAACAGAGCACGAGGCTGAGCCCACCCTCCCCCCCAGTTCCTTACACCAACCTGGCAGTCTTCCGCCACGCTGCCCAGCACGGGCCTGGCCTTACCTCTGACCTGGCCTGAAGAGGTAGGACTCCAACCACTCCGAATGGCTTCCTTTGAGTTGAAGAGCCTCAAGCTGTGACCAGAGGTGCCCAGGACAAACTGCCCCCCACCCCTGCTCCACCAGGCCCTTGTGCCTTTAGGCTTTGGGAACCGCCCATTGCAACTGCCATGCAAGGGGTGCCCCTCATAAAACACAGATTTGGGGGATGTGTGCCAGGCCATGCCCCTTCCCCACCCCCGCTCGGCGCCCCAGGCACCACCAGTGGGATCCCTCCACTGGACGAGGAGAATGGAGCTGGAGGCCACCCCTTGGAGGCCCCATCAGTGGTGTGGGCACGTGGGATCGGCAGACTTCCCCAAGAGTGTCTGTGAGTTTCTGAAGACTTGTGGGCAGCGTGTCAGACCCAGAAGAGGCTGAGAAGGCAGGCTGAGGAAGGCAGGCTGCGGGAGGCCCGGCCGGTCAGCATGAGCACTTCAGCCTGAGGTTTCATCAGGGTGGGAGCCAGGATGGCGGCGTTTGAAAGAGGGAAAGTTAGGGGTGTTCCAGAAGGTGGAGTGTCCTTGTTTACATTTGAGGGCACTGCCATAGGGAGGAGGCAGACAACAGCCATCTCAGCTGGCTGGGCCCTCTCTCATCCCACCTTAGGGAGGAGCTCACAGCACCCCCACCCATGAGTGTTGGGGTTTCCTGGGCTTTCCTCCATCCAGGCCCAAGGTCACCGCCCTCCCCGCCCCCCGCAGTAGGCACTCAAACCTGGCTCAGAGGACCCCTAGCCAGTATCTTCTTCCTGGGCCCTTTTCTTGGGCTCTGGCTCTGCCTACCCTGGCTAAGGGGGGGGGGGGGGGGGGAGAGAGAGAGAGAGAGAGAGAGAGAGAGAGAGAGCGAGGAAGAAGAAAGGGGAGAGGGAGGAGGATTGAGGGAAGGAAGAATTGGGAGGAGGAGACTGAGAGAGAGGGGTGCTCAGTACAGTTTCAGAGTTCGGGCCACTGCCCACCAAGAGCCACTGTCTGTGAGGAAGGGCCGTCTAGTAGAGGTGGGTTTCCCTCTGCACATGGAGCTCAATAAATGTCTGTTGCCCCAAACCAGCCCTTCCCTGGACGCCTCAGCCCTCAGGCACCACTGTGAGCCACACAGCTCTGGAATTGGGAAGCCACCTGACAGCCATATGCCTTCCGCTGGTCTTCGAACCTCTTCGGCCGCTGGATGGAAGCCTGGCAGAGCCGGATGCTGCTTGGTGGTGACCCGGTGGCTCTGTCACTTCACATCACACAGCAGAGTCTAGGCCAGTGGTCGGCAAACTGCGGCTCACGAGTCACATGCGGCTCTTTGGCCCCTTGAGTGTGGCTCTTCCTAAGCCTTAGGAATAACAATGTACCTACCTATATAGTTTAAGTTTAAAAAATTTGGCTCTCAAAAGAAATTTCAATCGTTGTACTGTTGATATTTGGCTCTTGTTGACTAATGAGTTTGCTGACTACTGGTCTAGGCCCTGGTCCAGCTCCTGTCCCGGTGGGCCCTCCTGCTGGTGGCCGAGTGCCCCCCCCGCCCCCCCAGTTCAGGTGGGGCGGGGCCTGCAATGGCAGCATCGGCCTCCAGAGGGAGCTCTCGGGAACTGCACTCTGGGTTTGGCAGAGATTTAAAACTGTATCTCCTCTCCTGTGGGCACCCCAGGGGTTCTCAGAGCCTGGCCGTTGCTGGGCACATCTCTACCATCCCCTGACTAGCGTCTCTCACATGGGCTTCAGGGGAGCCAAGGAGCCCCGACACCCCTAGGAGCTCCACCGTCTCTGCTGAGCTCTGTTCACCCTCCAGGCTGGGCCTGAGGACCATGCTGCCTGTCCCTCTCAGGAGGCCCTCATCTGGACCAGCAAAGCAGCAGGTGGGGGTGAGACGTCATCCACTGGGTTTCTGAAATTATGGGGACATCATGAAGCTTCAGGGGACTCGCTGTAAGCCCCTTTCCTTCTGGCTTGAAGTGAAGACACCCCATCTGTTTGGGCTCAGCTCACCTACCCCAAACCCCCTCCTTTAACCTCAACACCTACTCCTGGGTCCCGTCCATGTGTTGGGGGCTCAGGTGCCTCAGTTCTGCATCCCTGTGGCAGAGGTCAGGGGTGACGTTGTCTCTGCACACCCCGCCTTCTTCTCTCGCCAGGCGCTGTGATGCACAGTGCGTGTCTGTAAGATGGAGAGTGCCAACTGCTCCAAGACGGACATGTCCAGGCAGCACAAGAGAGAATTGTGGACCTGGGGAGAGGGCATCATTCCAGCAGCACCTGGTGTGTGGACAGGGCAGGCCACCAGTGTACAGGCTCAGTCCCTGGCATTCAGGCCTGGAGACGGGCGCTGGGAGTTAAGTGTGGGGAGGGCCTGGCTCTGGGATGGTGGAGAAGGACATCTATCTGTCTGTGACCACCCAGAGCAGGGCCTCAGGCCGACCCCAGAGAATTCAGATATCACCGGAAATGCCCCAATTATCAGGTGATTCCTTTGGGGAAATGGTGTCCTTCCTACTCCGCCCGCAAGCAGCCTCAGTGCCTTAGTTCTCTCAACCATAACTAGGTAAATAGCAACGTCAGCCTCTTAGTTAATTCATGTAAAGTGCTTAGCACATTTGTACATTCCATCGCTCCATGTCTCTGTCCCCGTTGGTAGCCTGAGCAGGCCTCTAGCTCACCTGTGCTTAGCACAGCTGCTAGTGCATACATTAGCTCCATAAATGTCTGTCCCTTTCTTTTGCACACCTGAGCCAGCCAGAACTGCCCTATCCAGCCACCTGGGACCTCAGACCAGGTGGGACTCGGACCCCTGGCCCATATAGCATTTCTTTGGCAGAATCTGCCACTCATGGCTCACAGGGCCTTTGCTCCGGGATGGCCAGGCTGGAGTCTGACAGAACTCCCAGGCCCTCCAACCTGCTATCCCTCCTGCCACAGGACAGCAAAGATACTTGCAGAAATCCACTTGGTGTCAGGGCCTCCCTCCCACAGACCCACAGGGAATGGGGACCAGCAGCGTGCCCAGGAAGGAACCTCTAGGGCCACCAGACTAGGGGCCCTGAATCCCAAACAAGGTCTACTTGTGAGACCTTGAACCAGCCACCCAGCTTCTCTGAGCTTCTTTTGCTCAATGTGAGATAAGGACAGTCCCCACCCGCTTCAGGGCATGTCTTGGTCACAGGTGAGCCTGTGGGAACCAAGGGACTCATTTCACATATAAAGTCGGATTCACATTTTAGGATCCCAGCATTTTAAAATCAGGGAAACGTGTAATGTATTTTTCTCTGTGGCTATTTCTGTCTCTCTGTCCCCTGCCAAGTGCCGACTTCTCTCCCCAAGAAACCAGAGCTTACGGTGATTCCTAAAACACAGGGGCTACACTTCCCCTGCACAGGGCAACAGATAAGAAATGAAGGGGGAAAAAAACTCTCAGGGAAAAGCCAAAAAGAGGCGATTGTGCTACATTCTGGGATGTGAGTGTGAGTGTGCTTATAACTAAGTGTCTGAATGGC